AAAGCCCTATGAAGCGGTATATAAGTCTAACTGCTATCTATTCATGTTTCACTATATTTTTAAAGCCCTTGATAGAAATAAAAAACTCTTAAAGCATAAGCTTAGATAATATAATATAAGTATTTGCTTCTAAAAGTATCGGTATGTATTTTATGCTATTTTCTTCTAGATACACAAAAGAGGGATTCCTTTATAAGCTTTGAAAAATGTGGGAAATTAGGTTAAAGAAATTTGTAAGTTTAACATGTACAAGTTACTTAACACATTAACCATTTCTATTCGTAGTTGATACGATGACTGACACAGTATAATAATATATTTTTGATCATTAGCGTGCAAGATTTTATTGCCATAATTTTCATTAGGCTAAAATCTGACTGTATATGACAGTCTGTGATGAATGGCTTGGTAAAAATCATTGAACATCTGAGAATGGAATGGAGAGTTCCATTGTTATCCATTATGTTCTGTGGAAAAATCAATGATAAGGAATATAGTGTTCTAGCTGTTTGCTATGGTTTTATATCAAACCTTATTAGTCATGGGATTCATTGATTAGAAAGTTGTGTAGTAGAACTACTTGGAATTGTTAGAAATAGAAATTATGTAGCAGTCAGACTTTGGAACAAACTGGATTTTTTATGGTAAGGAATGCACAATGTTGAATTTCCTTAATGGAGACTGGTGAAATCAAATAAGGTTGCAAATAGTAAAAAATTGTATTACTTAACTGCATTTGAAGTTTCCTGCTTAAGGGGAGGTATCATAGATAATTGCTCAATTTCTCCTATTAGAGGTTACAAACTTTGCAATTTATATAAAGCATTTAACTAAGATTTCTGCTTTTCATACATCAAGGTTCCTCCCCGAGCTGAAGAAATCACTATCCCGGCTGATGTTACTCCAGAAAGAGTGCCAACCCATATAGTGGATTATTCAGGTAATTTTATAAATTAAAAAAGAGACATTCATTATGGTTTGGCTGCTCTGGGAATGGAGGTATCAAAGAACAATTCATCAGGTGTATAAAGGAAAAATATGGACAATAGCATATAGAGCTCTAAGATTAATGTATTAAAAATCCTCTCTTCTACCCAATTAACAGTGCTTCTCTGTCTTTACAGCTTATGAATTGTTCTTTGA